TTTTTAGGTGCTCCTGCACTCTTGAGGTTGTTTTAGTTTTGGGTGGTGAATGAGTAATAATTTGACTAAAATAATTAAGTTAATATAACTATTATATAACTAAGGCTCCTGCCAATAGTTATATATTACACTATATAATAGGTAAATCGTAAATACCTATTAAAGGCCCACTAATTACAATAATGCAAGTTAGGGACTTATTATTTCTTACAGCAATATACGTGTACCGCTCCAATGTCATAATCATCTAAATTTCCTGTATTTTGGTTGGTGTAATTTTAGGTAATTTTTGGCGATATGATTTTATGCGAATTAAACATACCTGCGTTTAAGTTGAGTATCTATATACCTACTTCAATACTTGTAGGAATATAGATGATTCGACTGTACCAGCGCATGTATTATATTATTATCATGATATATTATTTCCGATATGCTGTAATAATAATGCATGAATTACAAAGAAAAATTATTAAACAACCATAGAAATAATATAAAATATTCGGATAGCACCTCCGAAAGTCCAAAGTCGCCTGTTTAGCGATATGTTATATAATAATTATATAGGTAATATTTAATAGGTTTTATAATATTTATGTTCATACTCACCTATTTATAACTAATTGATCGATAGTTGACGTGTTGAGCAAATTTTAATTTTTTAACACGCCAATATAATTATATATTATTTAGATACCATTATTTTAATTATTTAACATTAAATATAATATATGCATTTTTAATTATTGTTAATTTATCTACATTACGTGTGATGTATGTACCTAGTATTCTGGGTATTTCGAACTTTGTGTGATGCGATTTCGGCAGAGGTTGTACAGAATCCTCTAACAGTTTGAACAAAAAAAAAAAAAATTAAAGACGCATTGACTTGAATAAATACATTTAAGAAAAACACAAACAAATAGTTATACATTTTTAAGTCTTCCTACTAAATTAATGTAAATTGTAATCGAATTGTTATCATAAAAAAATATAATATATTCTATATAAAGCCAATGGCCCCTATCGCCGATGCTAAAGATACATTTAAAAAAAATTAATATTTAAATTGAATATGTGTAATACTAATATAACCCAGATAGTATAGTATCTAAACTTTAAGATAGTAATAATTTTTAAAATCAATCGACAATCATTGTGAACAAATTTACAAATTGCAGCTGTTGGCTAATACTTTGTAAACAAAAGTACATAATTAGGACTTATACTCGTGCAGAGGCGGCATAGGTATCTATTATGTATCTTATATTATAAAACGCTAKTATTACTATAAAAGTTAAAATTAAAATAATTATTTACTTCAAAAAATAAAAAATACTAAATAGTATACTGCAACTAAAATACAAAATATCCATTATACCCTTTAATATTATTTTATAGATATGTAATTTAGTAATTACAGTATTAATACTTATGAATTATTTCAATTATTTAATGAACTATCTCATATTATTATTATTATGTGTTACTTCAAAACCATAATTATTATGTGTTTCGAAAACGTGAATAAATATAGTATATGTTTTGCACGAGTTTTCGAAGACGTTTAAGCAGTATGAATAGTATGATATAATATGTTTAATATAACGTAGGTTTATCGCGTATATACATAACACTGCAGTTGTCTTTACACTTTTGATTGAATAATTCATGAACGGGTTAGTAAATATATACATATATATATTATTATTATATTTACTCGCGGGTTGGTTTAGTTGGTATATATAATAATATATAATGGATGTATATATTCCATTATACTATAATACATACATATTACATATTTTAATGAAAAATATAAAAATATATACTATATGTATGATATGCATTAAAGAGTGTCAGAACTGCGACGACCTTTATTAATATTATATATGCCCGTAAGGCAAAACAGCTCGGTAACGTAAGTTGTGTAGTAGTATATAGTATATATAGGTACCTCCTATGTATATACGAATTACATACACATACATTTATATATATGATATAAATATATATCAATATATATACACCATGATGTGCAGTAGTATATGTATGACATTCTAATGATAGTGGCTTGCCGGCGATCTAACTGCAATTCGTTTTGCAAACCACCTCTTTCACGTATAATACTTATATTCTTCCCACAGTTAAAACAATTAATAAAATTAATACGTGCCCATAACTGGTACATCGTAATATCTATATATGCGCGTATATCGCACGGCGGTGACGGCGATGGGATGGGTATATTATACGAGCTGTATATATGTCTATATTATATACCTAAAAACATCTCAGCTCGATCTCGGTGGTATATTATATTGCTGTTGCTCAATAACAACGAGCGTGCAGCAGGGTTATGTCTCGTTATATTTTGCCGATGATGCAGATCACTGCAGGAGGAGTAGGCAAAACGGGGGAGATTGTAGTGGTCATAAAATGTTTATAAACGACCGTTTCGGTCATCTAAAAATCAGTATTGATCCTACGAGCTCGTCCGACAGACACCATCATCATAATATATTATACCGATATAATACCTATCACAACAACCTTCATCGTCGTATAGACAGTCACAGCAAAAGTTTAAGAGTTTCATTACCTGCAGCAAAAAATCATGTCTGTCTCTAAAGTGGTGAGTTGACGACCTGTCGCGTATACCTATTCTAGATTTTTTCCAACAGTCGTATCTAGCACGACGTCTTCGTCGCGGCTTCTTTTGCGCGTCAGACGAAATGCAACAATAACATACAAGTCCAATATAAACACATCGTATTTTTTGCCGATATAAAAAAACGAGCTCATAAAAATATATTTACGTTTTTTCTCGTTGCCGTCGTCTTGCAGGTTCTGCGTTTCGCCGGAATAACGGCTCTGTTGATGGTGGCGAGCTGCTTTGCGCAGACGGTGCAGCCAGCATCCGTTCAGATCGTCTCCACTTCGCCCGCACCGTCGTTGTTGCCGTCGCCATCTCCTTATTTTAACGGCTTCAGACCGAACGGAGTGTACCCGCAACAGTTCAACGGAGTGTACCCGCAACAGTTCAACGGAGCGTACCCGCAACAGTTCAACGGCGTGCTGCCGCCACAGTTCGCTCAGCGGTTCTACAACAACGGACAAAACCCAGCGTACAACGGGCAGTTCGTGCCGATCTTGCAGCAGTCGTTCGACATCTCTCCGGAGGGCAGTTACACTTTCAGGTGAGCCGCCGTGGTTTTACCGTGTTTTAGACCTAATCAGTAACCTATATTATATACCTTGGTACTACATCATGTACCGCGCATAACCACGCTATAGGTACAATAACAGTGTTTTACACGCACATTAAGTTATATAATTAAATTGTAATATACTCGTCATCGGGTGCTCGGCTTACAGTTACCAGTCCGCCGACGGAACTCAGAGACAGGAATCGGGAGGTCTGAGGTATCCGGCCGTACAAGGATACCCGCCAGTGATGGCCGTCCAAGGATCGTACTCCGCTATAACTCCAGAAGGTACCTAACCGCACAATAACATTACAATATTAATAATGCGCTGTAAGCTCGTGTAGTTGCAATTGCGACGAATGACTCGTAACTAAGTTCAATCTCCATCATATTCGATTCGCGGGTCTCATCATTTCCTAATCGCGGGGGATGAGGACGAGTGCAGTCCACCGGAGTTTGTAGGTCACAACCTATGTGCAGAAAGCTATACAATGTACAGCGCAGTCGACCTATATACGCGTAAGATATACAGATACGACTCGGGAGCAATCATCGGATGGAAGTCGTCGATATAATGATAATATTATAGTCGACAGCGATTGATAGGCGGCAGTCTCGAAGATATACAATTATTCGAAATACTTTTACTTCTCGTTTCGTCTGTATACCGCGGTGGTAATATTATAGTAATACGATGGTAGCATTATTTATTTTAAACTATATAACAAACAATATTGTATACAATAGATTAATCACATAAACGCGCGACAATAGAGATGGAGTGCGCATAACACTAACTAAAACATAATAAATATATTATACATGATATATATATATATATAATATATAAAAGGTTTTTAGGTACCTATATTACATTCTTATCTATTATGTATCAATATTTGGGTTTGTATAATGATATTATATTATTATATCGGTAAAGTTATTACTAGCCACCGTCGAACGTTAGGTACAATAGGTAACATTATGTGTATAATAAACGCATTAGACGTACAATATAATATTATTATATAATTTCAAAAAATATATTTTTTAAGCTTTCGATAAATCAATCGTCATATTTTTCTCGCGTGAATTGTACAATGCAATCTGTATATATATATATATTCGACTTAATAATTAACATACTTAAATATGTTTTTATATATTTTGATTGTATACCTACCGTCTTAAATATATATACATAGGTATAATAATAAATTAAAAATTATTTTAGGAATTCCAATTGAAGTTGCATACGTAGCTGATGAAAACGGATATCAACCAACCGGACCTGGAGTCCATCCGGCCATTCAACGAGCAGTAGCCCAACAAGTGGCCCAAGCCAAATTAGAACCACCACAATTCAACAAATAATACTGCTCGTAATGACTCAAATGTAATAATATGATTCCGATCCCGAAATTTGTAAAAACTTTAATTAAAGTCCAATAAAGCGATATGTAAATTGAAAAAAAAATCAATTTGTATGGTTATTTTATTTATAATTCCTAATCAGTACACCTGCAATGTATTGAAATAAACTCGGCAGTAATCATGTTCAAAATATAGTACCTATATTAAATATACAAAAAAATAAATTAACTTCAAAAGAAAAAATTTGAAAATTATGGGTACTTATAGTTTTATTATATTTTAATTGATGTGCATCGTGGTGGAGTGAGTCACTCTAATATAATAGCTATAAATCGGTTAATTTTACTCGCATTTCATTTGTTTGAATTTCATTCTGACTTTCGCAATTCACTAATTTTTGTCTTAATATATGGGTAACTTATACATAAATAAATTTGAAAGGTTTGATTCCAATCGGGTAGCAATATTGTCCATGATAAATATATCAATAACTTTTTTATAATCTTGTTTTTACAAAGTGCTATTAGGCTGAACAATTTGTAAATCAAATTGTTGTCAAATATTATAAACAGTAAAAGTATGACATTACAGTGGATTTAGATTTCATAATCTCCATCATATTATGTTAAAGTATTGGTACACAAAAGACTTTAATGCGATGGAAATTATTAACTCATCTCGTTCTACATTACGTCCAACACGGCAACACTATATAATTAAGATTAACCCATAGGATCTTCAATAGCATTATGCGTTAAATGTATGGTCATTAGGTGCTCATTTATAAAGTTTATTTTATTATACGAGCAATTCCAGCATTATATAGACATCTATAACATGATGAATCTGTTTTGTTAAAGCAGAGGTCATGCACTTGTGTGCTGTTATCAGTTCAATAAAATTATGTAAGTTTCACATTATGAGGTATTATATGAATAATTTTAGAGTCCATTTATACGAGTTTTTCTTACAGATGTACATGACATAAGTATATATTTTTAAACTGTAAGTTGTTTGATGTATATCACATAACACTTATATATAATACTCGCTGTAAAATTAAAATCCCACGAGGTTGTCCAAATAATAATCTTAACTTTAAATTTTATAAGAGGCCAATTCACTCTGTTATAGTTTTTGAACTAACGGAGCTAATCGTGGTCTGCTGAGCTCAAAACATGCTATATATGTTGCGTAAGAAGGAGACAATGATGCGAGTATTAATATACGTCCTCTTAAAATCGAAACATTTTTAATGCCATCGTGTCTGTCAAGAAAAAATAATTAGACAACGAAATTTCAAGTTTTAAAAGTCATTAATTGCCGATTTTTAACGTAGGTATAACCCTATAACCTAAAAACTAAGCAATGAAAAATGGATGTGCCGCGCCGTACCAAAAATGCTAAACTTTTCTGAAAATAACAGAAATTACCAAGAAAATCACTGAGAAATCGTGAAATTTATTTTATATGCGATTTATTGTAATATTTTATCTACACGTATAGCATAGACGTAAACTTAGCCACTTTTTGCAGAGCCATATTTGAGTATTCCTATAAACGATTAAGTTATAAATTATTGTATTCGGAATTAATGCAAATGGAAATCATAAAATTTAACCAAAATATAATATGTGAAAGAAAAAGGTATTTAGATACAAAACAAAAATTAAAAGCTGGAGAACTCGGTGTGTTATATAATATATTATTATGATTGGATTGTGCCTTATTTTGTCCTCGTCATTGAGTATAGCTCACTGAGACGGGTGTGTTACAATTGAACCTAATGATAAATCAGTGTACCGACATAAAGCTTACTATACTGATACGAAAAAATGATGGAGACGGATGTTAAAATTATTATTTGAGTATAAATTGCATTAAGAAAGTGTATATTTAATTTAAAAATGTACTGTTAGAAAAATATTATATCATCATGAAAAGTCATTTATTTCTTTTTTGATTATATTATCAGTTAATTCCATAATAATACAAAAAGAAAAACGAACCGTTAAATGAAAAATAAATATAATGAGGCACACACATTTTAATGACACTGTATTACTGCTGCAATAGTCATGTCGCTCAGACCATGATATAGATCTATTCGATTATGTTATACAATGGTAGAATAGGAACAATAATTGACACCGGTAAACTAAAATGGTTTGTGGTTACAAATAATAACAATCAATACTAGTGTAGGAATACAAGTAAACTATATTGATGGAATTAGATGATAATAATAATAACAATGAATATAGCAATAGGCAAGTATAAAGCATAATTTATATTACAAACGCCGAACGCCGACAAAACTGTTAAAGCCTCAGCTCTTATTAAAATAAATATATGGTAAGCAAAATTAAGTTGTAAAAATTACCTACTTACTTAACATCGATACCCAAAAAGACAGAGTTCGTTGTTTGTAAATTACAAATGCTTATGAACTTTTTTCATCGTACCTAAGTATATATTAATGTTATTTTATGATGAATTACATGCGACTTGCTATTATTTACTATTAGTTAGAATTTTCGATGTACCTATTACTGTAGCACCAGTGGCCAGTGCAATCTTTTACTAAACGGATACTTTTTTTTTTTAAATTCCATTCTTATCTAAACTTGAATACCTAATGTGACCAATTCATTATTCATTGGGAGGTAACTTTTATTATTTATTTATTAAAAATAATGTTATTTACTATAATTTATTTAAACTTATCAGTGGCGTGCTCAGCTTTTTCGAAAGAAGGGGGATATTCAGTTTTGACTTGTCTACACCCCCTTCCGCTGGATTTATATTTTAATTTACGTTATCCCCCTAAACAACTTAGAATAAACATTTCAATTATCAACTTTAAACTTCAAACTTTTTAATAAATTTAGACTTTCAAATTGAAATAAATAAATGTTTCCCATTCGTAAATATACTTAATATACATGTAAGTTTAATATATTATTTTAACTATATAGTTTACTATATAATTTTTATTAACTAAAGGAAAATTTCTATTTTTAGGTAAGGAAACGTGTTATCATTATTAAAGACTGTGTCATCATGCTGTAAACATAATTATACAATAATATACCTTATACTGTGCCTTAGTATACTAGACTAGTACCTAGGTCTATGAGTTATACATACTTTATAATAATATGCACGACAAAATAATTGTTTATTTTGTCATGATAATATTATTTTAACATAACTAAAAAATTAAATTAAATTAAAACTAATTATAGGTAGGTACACATTACACACTACATTTTTTTTCTGAGTAAACCAAAACTATCGAAGAACTATAAAATACGCATAAAAAAAGTTCATAGGGGGGATATGACACCCTGTGAGCACACCCCTGAAACTTGTGATGAGTATCGTAGATATTACACCCTCAAGCATTTTTACTTAGAAATAAAAATGTTATCAACATGATATTTAAACATAATATTATGTAAATAGATAAGTCAAAAAGAGCCAAAATATTTTTAACATTAAACGATATCTAGAATATTAATTTTCATAATGCTGGTATAAATATTAGGTGAACAAGTCCCAACAATAACTTCTTTATAAATTTACAAAAAAAA